GCTCCTCGCTTGTTAGAACATTACCATTCCTATATTTAAAAGCCTAATTTGCAGCACATCCTTTCCAGCCTGATCCCTCTGTCTTGCCAATCAGTACAAGTCTTTCTCACCTTATTTAGTGTCCAGCCTCCTATGCAATTCATCATACACCTTCTGCTTTGCCTTAGCTACCTCCCTCTTTGCTCTACGTCCCATCTTCTTATATTCCTGTCTCCTCTTTTCAGTCCTCTCACTGTCATATTTCTTCTTGGCTAACCTCTTTCTTTGAATAGCTTCCTGCACTTCACTATTCCACCACCACATTTCCTTATCATCTATTTTCTGTCCAGATGACACACCAAGTACCTTCCTACCTGTCTCTCTAATTATTGTTGCTGTAGTAGTCCAGTCATTTGGAAGCTCTTTCTTTCCACCCAGAGCCTTTAACAGCTCCTCTCTGAATTTCTCACAACGTTCTTCCTTCTTCAGCTTCCATTTGGTTTTCGTCTCTGATTTTACTCATGTTCTCTTCTTCACAACAACGTTCATTCTACAAACAACCATTTCCATTTTCTTGGAAAAATCCACCACCTTCTGTCCTTCTGGTTTCTTTCCTTGACATCATACCTACCCATCACTTTCTCATCCCCTTAATTTCCTTCATCAACATGTCCATTCAGGTCTAATCCGATCACCACTCTTTTCTTTTCCTGTGATGGACTTGTGACCTGTCCAGGCTGTCCACTGCCTCTCTCACAGTGATTGCTGGACATGGGCACCGGCGACCCCCGTGACCCAAAATTTTATTAGAGTGCTGTACGAATGGGTAAATGAGGTCAGAGATTGTAATGTAAAGCACTTTGAGTATCTTGATAAGATAGAAAGGTGTTATATAAGTACAGTCCATTCACCATTTTACCAAGAGTTCGTGGCCATAGGTGATGGTAGGAACATAGACCGACCAACAGAGAGCTTTGCCATACAGCTCAGCTCCCGCTTCACCAGAACGGACAAGCACAGAGTCTGCAATACTGCAGACACTGCACCAATTCATCTGTCAATCTCCCACTCCATTCTTCCTTTACTCGCGAACAAAGCCCTGAGATACTTCAACTCATCCACATGAGGCAGAAGCTCACCCTTGACCTGAAGAGAGCAATCCACCCTTTTCCGACTGAGGGTGACCTCAGGAGGTGCTGATTCTCATCCTAGCTGTTTCACACTCCACTGCAAATTGCTCCAGTGAGAGCTGGAGATCACGGCATGATGACGCCAACAGGACCACATCATCTACAAAGAGCAGAAATGGAATCCTGAGGCCACTGAACCAGAATCCCTCCACCCTCTGGCTGCACCAAGAAATTCTGTCCATAAAAGTTATGAACAGAATTGGTGACAACGGGCAGCCCTGGCAGAGATCAACTCGCACCCTGAATGGGTCTGACTTACTACCGGCAATGCGAACCAAACTCTTGCACCGCTTGTATAGGGACTGAA